TTGTTCATCAATTTTTTTTTTTTACAAATAAATTACCTATGGTCTATTCTCCGAAACGTTTCCTTTCTCTATTTATAGGATGTATAGCTGTTTTTCGCATTTTTAAATAAACATTTTCTAACAAAACCAAATCATCGTCCGATGAGTCCGACATTTTGCTTGATCTGCTTTAATCGGCTTCCTTTATGTAGGAAGGATCGGCGCCGATAAGCGCCGATCGGCTTTCGGCTTTCTTTCTGTATACGGCCTACGACAGTCGTGTGGCGAATGGACACGCGCACTCGCTTCGCCGCCTATTGTTCGGGTACGGCCAGAGTGCACTCAGATTCAGATTCAGATTCAGATTCCGAAAACAAGCGCGAGATATAAACAGTGTAGTTAAAGCAGGGTGGCCATAGTGGCCGCAGGCAACCTGCTTAAACTACACTGTATATTTCTCGCGCTTGTTTTCTGAGTCTGAATATGAATCTGAATCTGAGTGCACTCTGGCCGTACCCTTCGGCAAACCGGCCGGCTCACGCGCAGAGGTCACGTTGCACGACAGTCGGAACCTATACTCTGTACCGTACGCACGATCAATTGCTCCGCGCTTGCTAACTCATCACCGTATTATTGTTATTGTTTACGTTTGCTTTGACTGTGCTTTTCCTTTCTTCCTCTGTGCTTGTTTATCACTGACTGTGCTCTGTACTCCTTCTATTCTGTGCTTGTGCAAATAAACTGTTTATCGTTGAGTGCTGGCCTTATTGTTTTACACCGCCTCCCGACTGCACCGCAGATAAGTACAAGCGAACTTTTATCTATCTTCACCCAACAACGCTTTAAATACATTAGCCGAACGCGCTAACCATTTGCGCCAACGACCTCCAAAGTGTTATTACTAATACTAGCAAACCAGTGAACCAAATGTTCACCAAAACCTGATTTCTCGAAAACCGGAAGTGCTACGTTACTCAAATCCGGTTTGTAGTCTTATCAGACTATTCTTAACTTATAATTTAAATATTCTCTTTATCTATCTCTTACGGTTTGGCCGCTGAAACAGCACCACAGACAGACGGACTTGTCTAATAGATAAGAGACTAGCAAACCAGTGAACCAAATGTTCACCAAAACTTGATTTAAAAAAAAATGTATTAAATTAATTGAGAACTTCGGAGATTTTGTGTGGTTTCGTTTGAAATTCGTGATTTCTCGAAAACCGGAAGTGCTACGTTACTCAAATCCGGTTTGTAGTCTTATCAGATATTTATTCTTAACTTATAACTTAAACATTCTCTTTATCTATCTCTTACGGTTTGGCCGCTGAAACAGCACCACAGACAGACGGACGGACGGACTTGTCTAATAGATAAGAGATTACTGTGAACCAAGTTAAAAGTCGCGGGAAAACGCTGGATGCGGGCAGCGCAGGGCCGATCATTGTGGAGATCCTTGGGGGAGGCCTATGTCCAGCAGTGGGCGTCGTATGGCAGATATAATGATGATGATGAAGTTAATAGTTATTTATTATACAAGAGTGGAAAGTTCCTTTTTAACCGCGTGCTCGATTTGGATGACCGAGCAAGCGAAGGAAACAAACGAGCACAAGGTGAAAAATCTTTCCACTCGAGTGCAATACGTAACTTTTCATCCCACCTCAGCGAGGAAATGACAAAATGAAAAAGAAAACAATTTATAATGACAAAATATTTAAGCAATAAAACGTGAAAAACTAGAATGGCGCGAAGCACGCAAATAAAACAAAGAAACCAAGAAGGTTCCAAATTTAAATTTTTTCACAATTTAAAAAGTTCTAATCATAAATTTGGCACCATAGAGGTTACATTAAATAGGTTTAATGACGTTTTGAATTTACAATTATATTGAGTACTCATTATATGTGATGTTCTAAATTCAAATCTACTTTGCCGCTCAAGCGAATAAAATAGAATTTTCCAGCCAGATTTCGAAGCGCAAAATTACACTTTCCGAGGTGGTGGGATGAAAAAGCTATTTCCTTTCTTTATCTTAAATTCATTTAACATCGAGGAGCTCGATGGCGCAAGTGGTTAGCGCGTTCGACTGCGATCGTTGAAGTTAAGCAACTTTCGCAGTGGTCGGTCATTGGATGGGTGACCAAAAAAGGACATTGCTCGTTCCCCATACATTGAATGCCCTAGAACGCCCAGCAATGAGAAAATGCTAGTTGTGTTCGGAATCATTCATAAACTCTAAATAAGCATTTGTTGAGATACGGACAACTTGAGGAACCGTGGCCTACTACAGAATGTATTAGATTTTGAGGTTATAATTAGTATACTTAATCATAAAAGATGTACACTTTATATATTCTGAATAGATTTAGTGTTTACCCCTATGTAAGCACTTAAATAATATGCATTAAATGAACATAAAATGCAATTTATAATAAAAATAATAAATGCTTATATTCTTATTGATTTTACCTGTAGTAAGTAATGATAGATTTCTTTTCAAATGAAATGTTCAGTCTTTCCATTTACCTGTTTCTATATTTTACTATCGGTAATTAGGTAATGTACCTGGTTACCATTACGATTTTCATAAAAATAAACAGATATTACATGGGATGGGAGTATAAACTATCTTTAGATAATTTCAGAAATAATCTTTTTATAAATATAATATAAATACTAGTAATAAGTATTATTAACTAAGGTACCTAGTTCTATTTTTATGTTGATAAATACCTATGGTCGCCTATATTGCATAACTAAGGTAAACAATCTTGGCACAACTTTTTAACAGAATCACCCATTTAATAATAAAATATTAACGAAGAAAATAAACTATTAAAATAAATCGTTATTATAGACTGAAACCTATTGAATCCAGTTATCAGTTGATTTTTAATGCTGTATTTTCAATAAAAAGGAGTGCCTAGTTGGATGAACAGACTGTAGTGTCTAGTAAGAGAACTTTTATTTTTTAAACAGATTGTCCGTTTACTATGATTAATTGCTAATAAGTTAAAAAAATAATAGAAAAATAATAGTGAAGGACATTCTTTTGGGCATGCTAGGGCCGAATTCGTCGATGTCCTTTACTATCTCGAGCTCCTCCGTGCTTCGGAAGGCACATTAAGCCGTTGGTCCCGGCTGCATCTGCAGTCGTTAGCACCCGCCAATCCGCACTGGGCCCGCGTGGTGGGTCATGATCTAATCTCCCTATTCCATCTATAGGGAAGGCCTGTGCCCCAACAGTGGGGACATTAATAGATAGGCTCCTGTATCTACTTTTGCACCCTTCTGTATTTCTCTATATTACTATTCCTTTTCTACCATAGGTTGCCTGGAAGAGATTGCTGTTTAGCAATAAGGCTGCCTTTTTTTCTTTCTTCTGTTTTATTTGGTTTTGTCTTGTGTCCTTTGTTGTGTGCAATAAAGAATATTTATTATTATACTTTCATTTATTTCATTTCACAACTTAGGTTTTTTATAAAATAGATATAACAGTAAAATACAAAAACGTAAATACAAAAATAAACATCATATAAAAAACCTAACCTAGAAGGCCACTAGCTTGGGCCTAGCCCAAGCTACCGGTGGTTAAGGCCGCAGAGAGAGAAACCGCCTGACGATGAGCGCCGTGTCCAGCCCCCCTAGCATGAGCACCGCGATATGATATATAACGCGTTTTTATCACTCTCAATTGTCAAATTGCTATGGAGTTTGACAGTTAGACGCGACAAAAAACGTGTTGTAATGTAAATTGTGGTGCTCATGCTACGGGGACAGGAGTACATTATTATTATCTCTTATCTATTAGACAAAGTCCGTCTGTCTGTGGTGCTGTTTCAGCGGCCAAACCGTAAAAGATAGATAAAGAGAATATTTAAGTTATAAGTTAAGAATAGTCTGATAAGACTACAAACCGGATTTGAGTAACGTAGCACTTCCGGTTTTCGAGAAATCACGAATTTCAAACGAAACCACACAAAATCTCCGAAGTTCTCAATTTTTGGTGAACATTTGGCCAGTGAGCCAAATGTTCACCAAAACCTGATTAAAAAAAAAAAGTATTTAATTAATTGAGAACTTCGGAGATTTTGTGTGGTTTCGTTTGTTTGCTAGTCTATACTAATATTATAAAGCTGCAGAGTTTGTTTGTTTGTTTGAACGCGCTAATCTCTGGAACTACTGGTCGATTCTTTCAGTGTTGGGTAGTCCATTTATCGAGGAAAGCTATAGGCTATTTTTTTTGTCAAAATTAGTGATCCGTAATAAAATTGCTATTTTGTAACACAAGGTGTAAAATCGAAAACCTATTTTTGCGTGCGCTGCAAAAACTATTGACAATAGAACAAAATGATGTACTACGGGTTCGTAGATCCCATTAAGACCTACAAAAAAGTCCGCGAGAACATATATCTAGTTATCATGGTTTAATCACAATAACCGATTTTGTGTTCAAAATAATTATTAAATCGTCTGAAGAAAAAAAAACTACGTTAAATATGTATCGCAATATTAATCTTTATCGAAATTAAGCATTACATTATCAAGAGTATTTATGTAGAAGTAAAATACTTTTTGTTTCATCTCAATCGGATATTTCGTTTAAAAGTTATCACGTGTGTAAGATGTTAAGAGTTGGTACCTATTAATGAGTTATGGGCCATAGAGTTTTTTATCAACATAAAATCCAATATTCAAAAGTCCATTTATTGAGGGAGGCTATAATCTCTTATCTATTAGACAAGTCCGTCTGTCTGTGGTGCTGTTTCAGCGGCCAAACCGTAAGAGATAGATAAAGAGAATATTTAAGTTATAAGTTAGGAATAGTCTGATAAGACTACAAACCGGATTTGAGTAACGTAGCACTTCCGGTTTTCGAGAAATCAGGTTTTGGTGAACATTTGGTTCACTGGTTTGCTAGTATAGGCAATATTTTATCTCGGTATTTCCATGGAAACGAGAAAAACGCGGGTAAAACCGCGGGGCACGGCTAGTTATTATTAAAACGATTGTCTCGTATAGACTGCGGGCTGGTGGTGTCGCTGCAGGATCGTTGGCTGGCGGCCACATCCCCCTCGAGGCCGCAGGTCCGCAGCCTGGTGGAGACGCGCCGAACTCTCATGTCTGTTTTATGGCTCAGGATCGTCAGCGTGCCATCCGCAGGTGAGATAACGACCATTCAAATATTAAAAAATTAAGACATTGGACAATTTTCTGTCCATCTTTTAGGTTAGTCCGCCGGAACAGCTAAATTTAAAAAATAAAAAACGAGCGAGCCTTATAGTAGTCGCGCATAAATAAAAAAAATATTTTCCAACACTCACACCAATTAGTGTGTGTGTTAGTAGTTATTTGTGGTTAGCGCGTTCTGCTGCGATCGTTGAAGTTAAGCAACTTTCGCAGTGGTCGGTCATTGGATGGGTGACCAAAAATTTACTATCTCGAGCTCCTCCGTGCTTCGGAAGGCACGTTAAGCCGTTGGTCCCGGCTGCATCTGCAGTCGTTAGCACCCACCAATCCGCACTGGGCCCGCGTGGTGGGTCATGGCCCAATCTCCCTATTCCATCCATAGGGAAGGCCTGTGCCCCAGCAGTGGAGACATTAATGGGCTGATGATGATGATGATGACACCAATTAGCCTAGCCCCAAAGTAAGCACTGTAAGGCTTGTGTTATGGGATCAGAGGCGGCCTTACCCATTGCGAGGCTCCAGGCGGCAGGTCTTTGCGAGGCCCTTTGTCCTTCGTGAAAAGTATGTGATGCGAAAGTAGGTCTGGTTGTTTGGTTTAGGTATTTGTCATGTTTAAGGAAAAATGCTTAAATTATACAAATAAATAAAATTTGAATTTTAAAATATTTTACATTCACAAAATTAACAAATACACAGATGATAAATTTTAAAATTGATGTTTGCGGCTTTTCCTAAGACTAAAATCTTTAATTAAAGCACAATAATCTAACGAATAAGCTACGTCATTTTCGATTGAAAGAATAGCGAGGACTGAAAGCCGATCTTGTGTCATTGAAAAATAGTTTTTTTTTTATATTTTTAAAATTTGCTTGGGTTGTTGCGCGAGGCCCCGGGCGATTGCCCTGTTCGCCACCCCCTAAGACCGCCACTGTATGGGATATTAGGGTAACGGATAGAATACATATACTGTACATATACATATAAATATAGAAATAGGTATTAAACATCCATGACTTTAGTACAAATGCTCGTGTTTATCACACTAACATCTGCCCTCACCGGGATTCGAACCCGGGACCTCTCGAGTCGGCGACACCATGAAACCCGGCGTACAAACCACTCAGCCACGGAGGTCGTCGCGTATGATGTGTGTAACATTTGAGTCGTATAGTTATTCATCATAACTACAAATCGTAGTGAAATGTCAATATTTTATCCTCCCTTAAAGACGAGACCAAAACAGTTTTTTTTTGATTTGCCAAATATTTGGTTCGCCCTACTTTGCCACCTTTGATACTATACGACTCATTTGAAACCTCGCCTTATCTTTATATATATAATTCTTCTGTGAGTGTGTATGTCACTGAACTTCTCTTAAACGACTGGACCGATTTTAATGAATTTTTTTGTGTGTGTTCAAGGGGATCTGAGAATGGTTTAGATTCACAATTTTGTCCGCTGGACAACCCCTATTTTTTTAGGGCGGTACGAAGTTCGCTGGGTCAGCTAGTATTAATAAAAAAAGAAACACAACCTACTACAAAAGTAATAAGCCATTTGAACGTTATGTTCTAAAATCAAATAGCGCTCGCTTTTGCGACTTCCTGTTACACACTTCCGTCCCATTTCACGAAATCACTTCCACGAATTGCAGGAAAGCGAGAGGAAAGATGTTACACATCAAAAATTAATATAATTAAAAATACAAAACGAAACTATTATTGCTATTTCTTCTTCCAAGTGTTTAATACTTGTAACGGTATTCATTTGACATTGTGGGTTACCTACAATGCGAAGAGATGGCGCTGCCTTGATGCTAGAGAAAATTCGACACGGACAATTAGAGCCGCGGTAACATAATAGCCTGGTCCGCGTGGATTTTTTTCTAGCAAAATTTTCTCTACAATAAAATTGTTTAAATTTGAATTATATTAGAATAAAATTGCTACACATTCAAACCTAGCAGTTGAATGCTTAAAGTAGAAATAAACTAATCTACAATATAATATTTTCAGACGCTGGTATAGGCGCGTTGTACGGCGTTTCTGTAGACCACAGAGAGATATGCAAGCCATCCAGTCGCCGCTGCCTTCTATACAAGGAGCTGATTGGGTTAATTAACGCTGCATTGAGGCAATGCCAATGCTACACATAATAGAAGAATAATTATAGGACAAAATGGCAGGAAGAGAAAAATATGGTAAAAGATAGGAAGAATTACAAGACAATGGTCTCGATTCTGGCGTGATTCTCTAAACTTAAAACTAAATTTAACGTCAGTCTCTCCTTTTCATTCTGTATCGAGATTGACAAGGATACACTGTTGTCAAATTTAAGTTTAGGTTTAGAGAATCATGCCAGAATCGACACCAATGTTACTTTAAAACTTAAGCAAAAGCAATTTTTATTTCATTGGAAATGGTAGTAGTAAAAGACAAGAAGAGCATGGTAAAAGACAGGAAGAAACACAAGTCAGTGTAAATAAAACTTTTCAAAAGCCAATATTTCATTGAAAAATGGTAGTACTAAGATAGAATCACAAGTCAATGGTGTCGATTCTGGCATGATTCTCTTAACTTAAAACGATTTTAACATCAGTCTTTCCTTTTCATTCTGTATAGAGAATTACAAGGATACTGTTGTCAAATTTAAGTTTAGGTTTAGAGAATCATGCCAAAATGGACATCATTGTTACAATAAAAGTTAAGAAAAACAAATATTTCATTTAAAAGAGGTGGTACTAAAAGACTAGGGGAGAGATGAACGTTCTAAAATACAAGAAATATCATACAGTGTTATAATAAAACTTAAGCAAAAACATATAATTCATTGAAATAAAGAAAACTACACGGTTAAGAGGCAAAATAAATTAAATGACAATTTCATAAGTAATTTTAATTCAAAAATGTACAAAACGTTAACACAGGCCAATGATATACTGTAGATACATTAGAGTCAGAGAATCGATTAAGAAATTAAATAATAATAAGAAGAAATCACTTATTATTTTTATTATAAATAAAAAAAAAACATACTACAAATTTTAACTTGAATAAGAAATGTAAAAATGTAATGCGGAAGGAAGAGGAAGTCTTCGGACAAAACATATGTAACATTCTATGTCTGTCGTGATAGAATAAGAAGAAAATAAAAGACAGGAAGAAGAATTGCTCATTATTATATTTATTTTATTGTATTAACATTGTGGCGGCGGCATCTACATTCCCCACATATAATCAACATGAAGGACATAGTCACTCGCCTCCTCAAGAGATGGCGCTACTGGCGTTGCGATCAATACGTATGGATGCCTAAATCGCGCAAGTAAAATTCGGATGCTAACACTCGATATATACGATGCCCGACTAACGTCTGGCGGACCGCGGCCCCAGAGTTACCATCACCCAGCTCGGAGGAAGATCCTCCCCCTTTGGCCGTCCTCCAACATGAATCATTGAATCCAGCAAAATATATATATATATATATACTAGCTGACCCAGCGAACTTCGTACCGCCCTAAAAAAATAGGGGTTGTCCAGCGGACAAAATTGTGAATCTAAACCATTCTCAGATCCCCTTGAACACACACAAAAAATTTCATCAAAATCGGTCCAGTCGTTTAAGAGAAGTTCAGTGACATACACACTCACAGAAGAATTATATATATAAAGATATATAGGATTTTCAAGCCAGAATTGATATTTTCATTTCACATTAAGTAATAATAAGGTTGGGTTTTCTGCTACAACGGCACTGCCTTGCCGTTGAATAACATATCTACTTGCCACATAAATATTTTCATAACACGTGTATTGTATAGCAAATCAGGGTTATACAATCAAAGCTGGTAAAGTCCAAAAAATTTTAAAAGTGAAATTTAAAACCAAACTTTCATTTCCGTATTATCTATATTTATCCCGTAGAATAATTATATACAAATTATAGAAATCTCGACTGTTATTTCAAATTGAAAATTGACTTTACAAAACAAACGTAGCAAAGTCCAAGTGAGTTGAGTTTCAATTTGTGTAAAGTCCTTTTCCATCAATAGGAAAGTTCCATTGCCTCCATTTCACTGACAGCAGCCTTTGATGTTGTAATGCACTTTTGTTGTGTTACAGTTACAAACTTAGTAAAGTCCGAAACTTGGTAACAAAACTGGGAAAGTCCATCTTAAACTTAAGGTTTTACTCAAAAGTATTGAACTGAACGTGATGAACGCTTGTATTTCCATAATGTATTACCACATTACATTATACATATAAATAATGTTTAACATTAGAATAGTTACCTGTAATTATTAAAATAATCGTTTTTATCGTTTGCTGAACATTTTGGCAATGTGGACTTTACCAACTTTGATTGTATACGCCTCAAATATAAGTTACAAACTAACGGTCATATTTTTGTAGTTTTAGCAATAAATTCAAAAGTAAACATCCACAATAACACAGTGGTATCGATTCTGGCATAATTCTCTAAGCTAAACTTAAATTTGACAACAGTACCTATATCCCTGTCATTCACTATACAGAATGAAAAGGACAGACTGATCTTAAATTTAGTTTTAAGTTTAGAGAATCTTGCCGGAATCGACACCAATATTGCATATATGTATTATAAAAAAAATGGAATAGTTATCAGAATTTGAAAATTGTATATTTATAAGTGTTATCTTATTTGTAATTAAGTATCAGGGTTTATTTTTCTAGAATTTGTTATTTTTTTATTGGAAATGTGTTAGAGATTTTTTGTCAATACATTTCTTTATTCGGTTATTAATTAGATTTATCTTACTCAGTAAAGAGGCTTTTATGTGCCAAGAACTCAGCAATGGGCTTATTATATACAAAAGATTTTTCTTTCTGGCAGTTGTAAACTTAGATTAAAACAAAAAGGGTAGATACGGCACTAGCCTCACAAACGTGATCCGCATGAATTGTGGTCCACGACCCTAATCGCTTTAGTCACAACTTGACATGCAAACGAGGTACATGTGAACGCCAAAAAGAAATATTGATAATATTTTGTGTTTCTATGATGTAACAATGCCTAAGTGTGTTTTTAAAAAGTGCTCAAATTGCTCAAGAACTAAAAATAAAACCCACGGCATCACTTTTCATTCGTAAGTACTATAAAATATATTTTTTCATAAAAATTGCTGTTTGTTTTGAATCTTATTCGGTAGTGACGTCGAGTGCTGGTCGCGTGATTGGTCGGTAATGCAGTGACGCGGATCTCGCCGTCCCGTTCGCGCTGGCGTGGGATCAGTTTTTGTTTGATGCAAGTATGAGCGTACCGTATCCACCCTTTTTGTTTTAATCTAAGGTTGTAAATAGTATATTCTGAGTACAGTAGTGTGTTACTAAAGTGCCAGTACTACAGTATACTGTAGTCTCCTAAATAGGGTATTTGACAGTGTTAAAAATAAAGTGCAAATTGTTAGCATCTGTGTTTAGAATGAATATTGGCAGGGGTTTTTTTACTATTTTTTACAAAAAAAAAATATTCATAGTTTTACTAAAAACTAACGAAAAAGATAATAGTTTTCTTATTTATTGTCACGTGACCCAAAATGCTTGGGATTGGCGGAGTCTAAAATGACGTTACACGCAAGTAAACTTCCGGTTACAGTGACATTACATTGTATCGTTTGACGTTTTAATAACAGTCGTGTGACGTCACACACTAGTAAGACGCCATATTGTCCAGAGAAACGTTTTCGCGGCAACTTGAAAATGGAGTTTTTGATTTGGTTATTTTTACTTGAATACACAACAGAATGATGAATATTTACGGACTCTATATACATTAGTCAATAACGTGAGATCGTTTTCTAAAACCTGTCAAATACCCTATTGTAGTTTTTTGACTGTTTTTATACTGTATATTTGTTAAAATTTTAACTGATTGTTTGTTTAACTGGCGTTAAATTACAGTAGATTCATCACAAATCTCTATATATGTATATCTTTGTGCAATATTTTTGATATACCTGTAGGTACCATAAGACACTAAATACAAAACTACATTTATACATTTTAATAGTACCTTATAGTGGATAAATAAATGTATTTTAATATTGTTTTAATGAGAACTAATGTTACCTTAGTTTTAAGAGAGAAGCCATTATATTATGAAATCAAAATATATATTTACATATTCTAAAGAGGAATTTTATTATTTTCATAATAGGCTAGTTGACCTTATTTCGAATAAATGGTTAATAAATGTTCTATTATACCGAAAAAAAGTGTATTGTATTTTTTTGAGACCTAGAAAACTACAAATCTTTATTTTGAAGTGAAACTTCTTTATCGGCGTTGGAAAAAAATTTACCGTCACATTTTTTTCGGTTACGCGTCACGTTTTTTGGTTACGCGCCATCTTTTTTTTAAAAGAGCACTATTTACCTCACCCGAACAATTGCTTCTTCTGTCAACTTTAAAAAAAAAAAGTATCGACAGCAAATATTCGTGTTTCACACAAGGTAAGGTAAGGTAAGGTAAGGTAAGGTAAGGTAAGGTAAGGTAAGGTAAGGTAAGGTAAGGTAAGGTAAGGTAAGGTAAGGTGTAGTTATACCCCTTTAGTGGGTGAGTTTTTGAAAAATCTTAGCGCACGCCTATATATATATTTCTGGAAAGTTGCATGTAGATCATTTTTCGAAAAAAATAAGGCCATAAAGAAGTTTCACTTCTTATGTGTGTACACTAGTACACGCACACATTTTTTTAAAATCGACTTTTCATGGACATACAAAAACGCTGTCGGCCATTTTAGTCTATAGATTATCTATGCTATGACTTCAACCGGTAGTAAACAAAAACTGGTAAGCACGTAGAAAATAACCTACCTGAGTTTATAATAAACATTTATATAATACAATTCGACATGAGTCAACTAGCCTATTATAATTTACTAGCTGTGCCCCGTGTTACCCGCGGCTTATTAGGGATATTTTTCCCACAGAAAAACGTAGCTTATGTGTTAATCCAGGGTGTCAGCTAACTGCATACAAAATTTTATTAAAATCGCTCCAGCCGTTTAGACGCGAAGAAGTAACAAACATACACACTTACAAACTTTGGCCTTTATGTTTATATTAATGTGATATTAAACATACCATTTTTTATTCAATTTCCGACAAACTGAAAAAGATTCTAATGTACAAACAATTACCTTCGGTACATGACCCACCCTTATTTCCGTTATTCCTTTTGTAAATTAATTGA